TGCACGGACGATTTACGTATACTAACAAGTTGAGCCCATTGCCTAATCGCTAAAAATCCTTCAAATCTTTGGGGATTGATGAAGAGTCTCAAAGGAGTAACCTAAATTCAAGTTTGCATTCTTTTTGCATCTTTACAAGGTTGCTGGTGGTATACTGTCATCCTACTGCAATCGCTAACAGTACAAAGACTATCTAATAATAAAGATCTAATCAACCACGCTTTGAAAATGAACAATAAAGGTTTAAAAACATTCGAAAAAAGCTTTTTTTATTACCATATAAGACAGGCGTGCATACTTGAGACATTCTGTATACTATATAAGATTGTCGCGTATAAGGGCATTAGTATCAAAAAAGCTGAAAAACCGCGAAGATTCACAAAATCTTCACTTCAGGTGCGGTCGCGCCAAAGATATAGACTATAATTTCAAAGTTTCAAAGTTAAACCGAATTATGCTATATGCGATAGCTAGCACAAACATTTTGGTAAATTTTCAAAGAGGAACAAAGCAAAATTGCGGTCTCTTTCCAAGTCTAGCTCAGCACCATTAGTTATCCTATGATAACTAGTATACAATGCAGCATTTCTCTGATATCAAAACAGATTAAAGTCAGTTGTATCTCTTTACTCTAACTTTGTTAGAAATAATGTCAACGGAGATGAAATGAGATAAATTTTGAAAAACATGAAAAAGTCAAAAGGTGGCTTTTCGTATGGCGTTTAAGGAAGAGGCTTAGTCACTTTATTAGTAATTTCCGAATCTTTTTTAGATCTTGATGAAATTTCGACGTTAACTTGAATTTAGTTCCTCGCTTTGCAATATACATTTTGTCTTTAGCCTTACGATAGATCACGATGTGAGACTAATTACTCAATTCAAATCATTGTACCCTTGATTTTGCAAGTGACTGCAAGCAAATCTAATTTGTCTTGAATTTAAAAATGGTCAAGCATAGCAACGTGGCTGCAGCAAGAAAATATATGCCATGAGCCCCTCAGCTTCTTGACATGCAACAAATTGTTCCGCAAGACGAAATTATAGAAAGAAGTAAATGTTAAAAACGCCATGAAAGATGAAGGTGAACTACGAGCACTTCATCGAAAGGGCAACGCCGTTTATGTAATGAGTTTTCATAACGGTAACTGGTGGAATGTGTTCCATCCAACCTACGAAGAAAATTCCAAAATTAAAATTAAGAAACTTTTACAGAATGCAGGAAACTTTTCCCACAATTATTGCACTAACCCTTTATGATACAACTCCAGTTGAAGTCATTTGTAGAAAATGCTAGATAAAAA